ACACGTGCACGTAGATGTGTTTTTTTAAGGTTCAGATTGGGAACATTCTCGGGATTTCCCTGAATATAGATTGCATGGAAAAAAGCTCCCACTGGTTTCAGGTTCACATTCGCAGCATTCTCAGCCATGTCTAGCAATTATAATAATGAACTCTGGAGGAGCAACGGGACCCAGACACCCAGAGAAATTAGCATAATGTCCTGCATGCACGGCAGAGACAGCAGCGCAGAGGCAGACTCATTTAAGAGGGCTTGGTATAGAGTTTTGGTCCCTGTTAAATTTGGTGGTTGAACATGATGCCAGCGATGATGTACGCTTGATTTTTATACCAGGTTGTAAGTAGTCTTGCAGCTTCAGCACATAGAAGAAGACTGCACTCTCTTCCTTGTGTTATGCAATCAACAGAGAGGAATACATACAGGAATTTATGAGGAGACAAAACCACTCCATTCAGATAACTTGAGCGCGCACACACACACACACACACACACACACACACACACACACAGCTGACAGCCCAATACAAATTGTTTACTTGACCTCTACAAATGTTTCAGAGGAGCAGCTCAGGCGGGAAGTGATCCTCAAGGGTCCCATACCACTCACAGAGCTGTATATCTCTGCCTATGTTTCCGTCTCCACTAACAGGGTTGTGTGTGTGTGTGGGTGTGTGTGTGTATGTGTATGTGTATGTTTGTGTGTGTAAGTGTGTAAGTGTGTGGGTGTGCGTAACTTTTTTTGCCCTCAAACAGGAATCCACGCATCTTGATTTCTCATTTAGTCCCGAGATAAACTCAGGGCAGGGGACTCTCCAGTGTGGGCCTGAACCGTCGAATCAGCGTCAAGCGCTGACCTCCCTGAACCTTTCTAATCTGATGTCATCTGAGTTTAACGATGGGCTGCCTAAAAGTCTCAGAGGAAGACCATCTTTGAGCTCAGCCCATGCCCACCATAAATCACACAAGATTGATCTTAATTTGATCTGATTGTAATTGAGCAACACCCCTCCTGGGCCAGGAGAATATTCAAACTGAGTCAACAATAACTGTGTACTTTGGCGCACTCTAGTGGCTTTTTTATTTAACCATAGGGACTGGGGTGAGGGGCCCACCCATATGCTGCGCCATACAGCCAAAGGCAGGCTGGATGTGGCCAAACTAGCTCTTATTATATTAGTAGTACTCCTGCTACAGTTCCAACACCCCACATTTTGTCTCTGTGGACACAAGAACTTTTGCACCGTAAATGAATGTCAGATATGAAAAGTTCTTCACCATCCCAGAGAGCGGTTTGTAAACGACGACTTGTCTTTTGACCTGTAATAAAAGAAATGATCAATTGGCAGGCAAGCTGCATACAGGCTGCAGCCCAGAACGTCACAGACATGGTAGGTTGTAAGCGGTCTGACATCCTGCACCAGATTCCATTCATCACTAGATTAAAGCATGCCTGTGTCTTTAGCCTGCTTTGGAAACATTTGATTCCATGAAACCATTTGCAGCTAAGTGAAATGCAACTCAGAGAAAAGTGCACTTATGAAATATAAAATACCTACATTTAATGAGTTCTGCCAGTTCAGATTATGCAATCTGATACCGGCCACACTACCTTTAAAAAAAAAGAAATTACTGTGAAAATGTGAGTGTCAGGACCATGGACAGCGACCAAACACACAAACAAAAGGTCTCTTTGTCCAAGGCCTTCGCTTCATGTCAGTGTTTCAAATTATACACCATCTCAACTGTCAAAAAATGGCAAACTGTTGCAGCACGACAGAGTGTACAGAACATAAGACAGAATAAACCTCCGCCTGGTGCCAAATATTCATACAAAACAGGCCTTTTCCATAGGTTTCAGCCAGGCAATAAAATTTCAAAAATTTGGGCAGGGGCCCCATCTTTGCCTGAAACCAAGCATGAAGGAGCTCTATGTGTTCTTCCTGTCAGATGAAGGGCTGTTAAAACTTTATCAGGCGAGTGTTAATTGAGAACTAATGGACTGGTAATTCAGAGCAGTCACAGAGATCCAGCTCACCGCTAAATGACATACAATCCTGGTGACGTTTGGATCATGTTGGGGCTTTTTGGAAAATCCACCACACGACCATAGCCATCTGGGGATGCCAGGCGAAAAGGGGGATGAGGGATGCCCGCCACCGTGTCTGGTTCTGCTTTAGACATTCATCCTCTCAGTCTCCAAGGATCATAACTCGTGTTAGAGGCAGGTTTTATGGTTTATGACTGGAAAATAAAATGCTGCGTGTTTCCTGCAGGCGAAGCAATGATTTACAGCTTTGAATGATAAAGTGAGCGCCCGCCTGACAGTGCGGATGTGTGAGGGCTGCTGAGGATCCAGACATGTCCGACATGTGGATGTGAGTGTGGTCGTATAGGGAGTGTGGTCACCACTGTGCGGTTATATACATTGGAACACAGAATAGAGGGGAAAGTTCTGGCTCACTAGTAGGTATCAATACCTGACATCATCATCTCACATAATTAGCACAGTGTCCACATCCTTCTCCAGTGACCATGGATTATTTCATGTGGTCCGCAACTGGAACTGAAACCTTAACCAGTAAATCTAACCAAGAGCATAAATACCCCTGGGCTCTGCTGTCTGCAGACATGGTTACTCATTTTAACTACTCCTCTCCAAAAAGCCAATCAGATATGTTTATTGTTATCTTCTGCCTACATTTGGGCCTGATTATTTAAATACAGAGAAAAATGTCTTGATCACCTGGCTCCAAGCTTAAACAGTCCACACTTCAGGCCACGACAGGCTTGTCCCAGCCTCCACACGGCCCTACCACTGATCTAAGACAGGGCCCAGTGTGTGCCAAGAACTCTTTCTGGTGAGGTCGTCAGTCTTACGCCGAAACCGCAGGCGCGCGCCAGGCAGATCAATAATCCCCATCAAGCTTCACCACAAGTCACTCAAACCTCCAAGGGCAGGCGAGCGGAGGAGGGTTGGGGGACCTGCTGAGAATTTGATACTCTCTAAGATGCTCTGTCTCAGAGTGGAAGAGATGAGGACTTGTCTTCCAGAGCTCTGTCTCTCTTTTAAACATGATCTCCTGTTATGACATGGTTCCTGTCAGCCATGCTCTGATTAGACACTTCCTTCTCTGGCCTGTAGGACCTCAGCTTTCACCTTCTCCATAGGTCTATGTTGATGTCACGTGTAAGTCATTACCCATCATCAGGAATGACAGCAATTAGTCATTCCTGAAAGAAGGAGTATGTCAGTGGCAAGAGAGAGCTGAGTCTGTAAGTCACAAAGCTAAGCATCTGTTTTCCTGAGAACCAAATACTCTGCGATCTTTACCTCTGAAAGTTCTTTAACTATCCTCAAAGACTCTACTTACCATCTGGATGAAGAAATATTCGGTCCACTGCGTGAAAAACCTGTTTTCGAAGTACCAAAACTTGTTTCCAACAGGTAGCTGGAATTGACATATGGACTTGCTCATTTTGTAGGCCACCACAAAAGAAAAATATAAAAGTGTTATTTTCATATGAAAATATAAAGTTATAGAAAGTAACAACAATATAGATCATTATAAATGATGGGAAAGTTCAAATTGAGCAAGGACGTTTATCATTTCCGAAATACCCTCTTTGTCTGGATTACGAAACGAGGCGAGATGTGACCACACTCACATCCACGTCTGGATCCTCAGCAGCATGTTAAAAATCCTTTCTTTTCTTTTTTTGTGCAACAATATTTTTTTCATTCAGATGATTAGATGTCTTTACGGTACATGAGAGGCACAAACTGGAGTTATGTCTGGCCTATGTATGATCAAATTGAAAAAAGTGCGGAACAGGATATTACCCAACAAATGAAGCCCTTTCTGCTGCTATTGCAGATAAAGGACATGGATACTACAGGGCTCCTACTACTAAAATAGCAGAGCAGTATGAGGTGAAACCAAACTTCACCTCAGGCTGAAACATATGTGTGTATCTCGTGGGTACAATATCTATGGTAAGCAGCTGCTAAATATGACGTGTACTTGCAAGGAGCACAGAAGTCTATAAGGCAGTATTTCTTAAACTACAGGTCTGGCCCTTAATTGGATCACAGGTCTGTTTCTGGTAGGTCCTCAAACGTCAAACACACCAGTTTGTTTTAATCAGCTCAGGTCTCAAAGCAAGACTCAATTTAGACAATTTATGCCTGAGCTGAAAAGGTTTACTAAACCTGGCTATAAAAGTGCACTATGTGTGAGTCCCTGTCAGCCTATATGTACTCCCTATGCTATGGTGGCCAAGCCAAGGCCAGTGACTGGTAGATCCACTGGGAGTGTTATAACAGATTAATGTGGCGTGCCAGGCCCCATGACCAGACGTGTTTGACGTTAATGCTCCACTGTATATTATCCAGCTTGCAGAAACGTTGGATGTGAGCGATGGGATCCAAGGACAGGGATGTTTAGGTACTAATTACCAAACAGCAAGGCACAAGTCTCGCTCCATATTTCCTTACTCCTGTGGAAACACTAGGCAGGCTCCATTTATTTTCTTTGACTGTTGTTTCTGGCAAGGCCATGTCTCAGTAAACACCACTCGCCCACCATTGTAAATCCGACAGGCGCAGATCTTTCAAGTTAGACTCCTTTGAGGAAAAATGGAGACAGATCGGATGGCGGCGCTCGGGTTTTCCGTCTTAATGAGAGAGTGGAGAAGAGGGATGGCGTTTGATCCCTGGCATGGAAGCCTCTATTTAAGCCTGTCAACGGTCATCACTCTCTCTCTCGCTCTCTCTCTCTCTGTTATGGATGGAGAAACAGACCTGCACCACTGGATTTGATCAACTCAGTCAGGCACACTTAACCCTTTTCATGACCAGGATCCAGCATCCAAGAGCCAGGCTCCAATGGCACCTTTGCTATCACAGAGACAGACCGCTCACCCCTCCTTTCATGACAACCACTAAAGTATCATTGCTGATTGATCACCTAGCTGGAAAGGAAAAGAAAAGGCAGAAGCAGATCTGTGAAAATATTATTTTATTTGTAGAGCTTCGCAATGAGCAAGGCTCTCAGTCATCATGCTCCAATTTCATATCATATGTTTGTCCAAACCACACAAGAGCCTTATGGTTCTTCAAGGAAGTCTCGCTATAGTTGCAGCCTGACACCAAGCCAAAGACGATAAGCCCCAAGATAAATTTCCATCCTCCTCTGCGTGGACACTGAAACTTTTGGACTTGAACTTTAGGCTGCGGATGTTGATAGACTCCTCAGAGTGGAGGAAATGTCCCTTTGACGAAGGGCTGGAGGGCAGGGCCTCTTGACCATTGTGGACCTGGCCTGGAAGACGCTTTTCATCGCGGCACTAATGGCTCAACCTAATCAGGCCTGATTGGGGCTGCTAAATAAATACTCTCTCCATTCATAATATCATGTGTAACCTAAGATAAAATCAATACCTTGACTGAACACTAACAGCTACAGGGAGAACAAATGTCTCGGTGCTGGCTGCAATACATTTTTCAGAAGGAGTCCATCAGTGACATTGGCATGGATTTTTTTACTTCCAAATAAAGGCACATAGTTGACAATCTTTCATTTCTAAAAAAGCGGCTCTGTATGACGTTTTAAATATCACAATTAAAAACAGATTCATGCATGCAACCAGTTCAGAAACAAGCACTGTTCAATGCCCTCTGCAGATAATATTTTGTTCTGTCAAACCAACACCATCAAGCATTATTATTAAAATCAGTCTTTCTTAAAATCAATCTTTCAGAAGATAGGCAAAAGCTCAAGAAACTACAGCAACGCATACAGTAATGAATGACAAATCAAAATGAATCCGCAGATCGCAACAGTCATATTCAGCACAATTAGCATCAATTGTCAATCACAGATGAATCAAGGTGTCTCCCCAGGAGCCAAAGCTTGATAATAAACACTGGAGCCAGTCTAGACTTCTGTGGGTTTAGGAATAAATAAAGCGGACGGCCCTGACATCAGCAGCTACTAAAATGTTTGGCCGTATGGACCGGTGGAGTATGTATGAAAGAGAGCTTTGTGTTATGAGAAATAAATACAGACAGACACAATCGTGTTTGAGTGAAAGTGTTATGTCAGAAACTTCACAGCAGCAAAATTTGAATCTGGTTTGAAACCTGTGAATTACGTTAAATGTGCTTAATTTATGTTCTGCTCCACTTCTCTGTTGCTGTGTCTGTCTGTGTAATTGCAAAACCATATAGCCTAGGCGTTGTGCTGAATCTCATCCATCACATCTGGAGCTGTAAAGCAGTAGAATGAAGCCACCCTGACCTGTTTACTATGAATTTCAGGTTTCTGAAAATGTCACAAAGAAGACTCGAAATGACACAGTGAGGAGTCACTTTTATGTTTAAAATTGGTGGTGGTGGTGGGAGGGAGTTGTGTTGTGTTGCTATTTTATTTTATTTGATCTGGTTGGTGAGTTACTTGGCCAGTCTCCTCGCCACGTCTTTGTAGGCGATCTCAATTTCAGAGTCAGCAGCACAGGTGTTGGTGAATTCATCACGTGTGTAGGCATTCTTCAGATACCGCCACACGCCTGTCATGTCTGAGGGGATGTCGTAGTTGCGGTACTTCTTAGCAACAACCTAGGAGGGAAGGCAAAGCTGTAACTTTAACGTGAACTGATGGCAAACTTGATTTATCTTGTCAGACATTGAAAGTCCACCCTTGGGCAGTTATAACTGTACCACCAGTTTTTTATTGTCAGACTTTACCATCAGTTTGAATTTTGAGATGACTTGTTGCTTTTTCAATTAAGAGAAGATACCACAGTCAAAATAGGCCTTTTTTGTGTATTTAACCTTTCAATATGCAAATTAGGTATTTTCTTATTAAATATGCATTCATTTGCATATCACACAAATCCATTTTCCAGCACATTGACAAGAGTCAGATGATTTGGGGGGGGGGGTTTATTGTGTTAATATACTAAATGGACAGATATTTACAGAAGAGTTTATCAAAATGTTGTTTTTTCATGGATTTATGGAAAATATTGTGAGGGACCCTTTTCCCCCAACAATTTTACAGATAAAATGCCACATAAAATGAGAACAATAAAAGATATTTAAATAAACCTCTGTAAATGTCTATAAGCTTACGCAATAATGACACATGTCATACGAACACATGTTTTAGATTTATGGTTTATGAACTAGCTGACATTGTACTCTAGAAAACAAGCTTTTAAATGATTTAATGTAGAGAGTTTTAAAAAGGGGCGGTAAAACCTTTACTTGTGCTAACATTGATGAAATGTACGCAATCTGAAGTTGATGGACTTGGTGTAAAATAGACAAAAAATAATGTTTATTATTATTATTTAAGATTGTTTTGTACACTTTATGAAAGTATGTAATAATAGTTGCAAAATAAACAGAAATCTGAAAATTGACAGATTGAAGCAAAATCCTCATTGGTGTGGTGTCTCGCCTTAATAAACGTAAAGGTAAATTACTATCACAAGCCCCAAGTGAGGAAATGTGAGGGAAAAAACAAGACTAAGAGTCTAAAACCATGTGTTCACGATATTAGTTTAGTGCCTTTGCTTACCAACATGTGCTAATTTGCACAAAGTACGGCTGAGGTTGAGGGGAATGTCTTTAGTTTAGCATTTATCTGGTTATACCCCTGCAGGTGGCGCTTGAGGAAGTGTGAGGGATCAACCAAAGTCATTCTGATGTCATGTTTCAGTTTGAACCAAACATCGATAATTTGTACTTTGACATCCAAGAAAATATAAATCAAAAACAATTTTTTCTCAGTATTTTTATATAAACCAACTTACATTAATGAATATTTTCCCCAGGTACACTCCCTCTTTACCTTGACTATGTGCAGTTTAGGCAGCAGGTTGCAGTCTGCAAGAGTGAGCTCGTTTCCATCAAGGAAGCATCGGTTGGAGCCCTTCTCCTCTTCCATGCTGTCTGCATCGATCTCATCTGGCAAGGGGCTGTTCAGGTAGTCATCCAGCTTCTTCAGGGCCTTGGTCAAACCTTTCTCTAGACCTACACCCAAGTCACACACAAAAACACACAGAATACTATTAAAAGGAAAAAGTGGTGACATGACCTATGAAGTGATAACCTCACTAGGTGGCAGCACAGCAGAATATATGAGTATAAGCAATCCTTAAATACTAGACTCTGCTACTACCTAGTGGAGGAAAATAATATTTAGCTGTGATTTTTTTCATCTTGTTCTTTTGTGTGAGTATGTGTGTGCCTGTGAGTGTAAATGGTCCAAAATGAGCAGCCCACCGGCATTGGCCTCTAGTTTAGTGTTCTTGATGTAGGCTGAGAACTTGGCGAAGATGTCATTTCCAGCTGTGTTCGACTCTCTCTGCTTGGCGCCCAGTTTGGGATACCTGAGCAGACGGGTGAGGGGGGCAGAGGCAGAAGACGCAGTCAGAGACGCCATCAGACCAAAACATCTGGATAGCATTAACACCTGGACTGGAGCTCAGCTCAGACTGAAAACATGTTACACTCACACCGAGTTGGCTACCCGCCCCATAAGCTCTCTCACACTAAGGTCCATTTATAATACAAAAAACTTTGCAGGCAATAAAAAAAAGATTTACTTAATCTGCCCTTTTTCTCCGCAACTGCTCACACACTGGCTCTCATTTATTTTCATTTTATTTTGCGGAAAGATAATAACAAAAAAACAATAAACCTGTCTCTCTAAAGTTACAAAAAAGCTGTGGCTGTTGTCAGTGAAGCACATAAGGTTTTTGTTTTCAAATTTTAAATGTACAAAAGTGGCCTGAGACACAGACTGTATATACTCATTCACAAAAGATTTACAACAGCCATAAACAACAACCAGTTATATCAGTTAACATCAGTCTTCAAATGCAGCACATATTCACTTTTATTGGACTGAAATGTTTCCTGTCCTTTCAACAACGTTGCGTAAGTTAAATAAATCTAACCGAAAGCAGCATGCGCGTAGTCAGTGATATAATCTGACACTGTAAACTACGTGTTGTAAAACCTTCCAGTTGAATTACTTCGGAGGACAAAGAGTTTCCTCCAGAAACTCCTCGATCTTGTTGATATCGGTCTTGACTTCTCCATTGAAGGTCAGGAAAGGAGGGTGTGTCCCCGGAGCCAGGTTGTGCAGATCTGCTGGCTTTCTATAGAGGACACAGAGAAAGCAATATGTCATGAGGAACCCGGGCAAGTGCCTGAGGGGTTTTTTTTGTGATGGAAGCTTGCATTCCCGTATCCCAACCTTTTGAGGTCGACTGTGGTGACGTTGAACACAACACCTTTAAGCCAGAGGATCATGAAGAGACGCTGAGAGAAGGGACAGTTGCCGATGCTTTCTCCGTCGTTGCCTGCCTGCATACAAACAAGATGATGGAAAACAAGTCAGAGCGATTAAATAATAAATAAATAATAAATGTTATGGTACACAGGCAAACATACACATACAGGTGTGGTTGTGAAAAAAAAACCATCGAGTTAAGTTGATGCAGAGATGCAAGACTGCAGGCAGACGTCAATGTTTTCTCACACGTAAATAATCTGGCAGATGTTAAGGCTTTTGTTTTAAAAGCTATTTATCTTTGCATTCTGATCTTGCGAGAGTGTATTCATCTCTGTAGAACACCCCCCTTACTTGTTACACAAGCTTTCTGCTGTTGAGAAAATCCTCAGCCACAACTTGGTGTCTCTGAGAACCTGGCAACCTTGCTACTAACACTTAAATGCATGTTGGATTTAGCTGGCTGTTATCTTTGACTTTCATTTGACTAGTAAGATAGATTGTTCAGAGAAGCGTCATGGGCTGTAAATGTAAATATTTGGCAAAGTCACATAAATACGTCACCCTTAAATCCCTGATATAAATTCATGATAAGGACATAGTCAAACCAAAAGTGCACTCTGGGTATTTGCCAGCATACTCTTGCCATCATGTACCCAATATGAAAAAGACAAAACAAATAGTTAATTTTTTGCATTTATCCAAAGTTCACCATTGGCTCCAGAATTTTTTTTATCCTACACAGGACCACATTATTGGTCAATTGAGGATAAAACATGAAAATAACCAAATAGGAGCTGCACGTCTTTCTCCCTACAGCGACACTGCTCATACAATCACTTCATCTGCATCATATACTTGTGTACATGCGGTGAGATCATGTGTCGGCATGTATGGCCACACAGCAGAGCAGCAACAGTGACATCTGATCCACTGGGCCAGCTGAATTATACATAGTGATTCGATCGCCAGGTTCACTGGCCAACAGGGCACAGAGTGCAGGGTCAGAGCTGTAAGCCTGCAGTCACACAGGGGTCCACAACACACAGCAAAATAAGTGCAATGACCACAAGGTCAGCAGAACGAGCAGAGATTTGACAGCGGAGATAGTTATCTTCATTTATCACATGAAGGATTTTGAAATTAAACTATCTAACAAACCAGCAGATTCATTGAAGTATGTGCACTTGAGTTGGCTAATATCACAAATATAAATAAATGATTTACTTGGATGCGGCACCAGCAGTCAATTCACAAATAAAATATACTACATGGAGGTACGTATTGCCATTCAGTGCACGTGCCCAGCAGCACACTGCTCCTAGCAAAGACCAGAAAACCAAGCTGTCTGTCTAAAAGTAGCTGAGCCAACTGTATGTATGCCAGCCATTGATGCTCAGTGCTGTCATGCTGCCTGAGCGCATGTGATGCTTCTGTCTGCACATTGTTATGGCTAGGCTCAGCGGCACAGCTGTAACACAATACACAGCCGCTGATAATAGCCAATCAACCTCTAGAACATGGAAGACAAAAGCTGTCGCACACAAGTGGGCCTGTGGCCACAAGGAACGTGAGCGCATGGAGCCGCTGAGTGATCCGATGATGAGTGGGCTCCACTGGAGGCAATGTTACTTCATATGATCCGTCACATACATGTATACTGGTCTAGAACTGGGCTTCAGTGTCCGTGGTTTGTCTTTCCACAAATTGTAATGAGAATATATGACAATCTACTGTATCATTACCAAAGCAGAGTAACCAGAACATTTCCTCATGTTTTATGTTTGTTGTTGTTGTTTTTAAGTTTGTGTGTCATTAATTAATACTGAAAGACTTGGCCGTTAACACTTTCAAGTCGCCTGTACAAATGCACTTTGTTCCAATAGAAAGGTCAGATATCCAGGCTCAGATTAATAATGTGAATAACTTTTTTGTTGTTGTTTTAATACCAGTGTGCAGTTTTCTTTTTCAAAGCACGTTATAAAACTAAATTAATTGTACAAACCGCACAATATGTAGCATGTTTTCAGAAACACCCAAGCTTCATCGCAGCATGCCACTGCAGCCAATCAGAGTATTATAATTCATGAACTTCTGATTTGTCACAAAAAAACTGACAGACTAAAGGTTTTCAGTAAAAGTATAATTAATATTATACTTCCATAATGTTGGGGGACTCAAAAGAGAAAGAGACTAAAATAAGTATCCTCAAACTGGTTGCAGCAGAGATATCCTGACTTTTATTCTCAACTATTGGTCAAGCCCTAAAAACGCTGGATCCCAATTACATTTTCATTCACTGGAGCCTCAGTGCCCGGGTTTATGTCTCAATCCTGAGATTCATCACTGGGATACTGGTATAGCCCGTGGTCTTGCTGCTACATGCTTTTCTACAATGCACAGATCCTCTCTCTTGAGTGGAGTTTAAACAAAAAGAGCTAAGATTCAACCGGGCAGTCCACAATAACCCAAAAATATCATGGTGCAATATAATGAAATATGTATTAGATTGAGGTGCAGCCATGTAGGATAGTTCTCTGTCCATCTAGGTCACATCTCAACCGACAGCATGAGGAAAAACTACTATCAAGGCTGCAGCTTCTATGGAAACCACCACTACAAGGTTTGTGCATCAGACTGGCTCTGCACTTAACACACCTCTTAGAGCCAAAAGGGAATTTGGTTTCATTAAGAACAACATTTATTGAACAAGTAACAAAATGTAAGATGACACACAAATGATCTCGCCACTGTATTTTTGCTTTCTAGAAATAAGAGTTCAAAGTACTGAAACGACGGAGGAACGGCGAGGCTTACAGGCTGATGCAGGCCGACCGCGTGACAGTGAACTTTCAGTTACCTAGCTGACTGGTTTCCTTGGAGGTGAATTGGCTAAAAGCAGCCTTCACACCAGCCAATTAACAGCTTTTCCACCTGCTTCCACCTAACCTGCCTCAGGTAGATTCATCTGCCTCCAACATTTCCCACAGGGCCTCAAGTGCATGGAGAACAAAACAACACTGCTGCATCTACTGAAGGTAGCACTTCCAGGCTGGTACTTTCATCATTGTTGCTCCATGTTAGGTAATAATCTGGAGCATCTAATCAATTACATAATGTCCTTTGAAAAAGTCTGGCTGCCTCTCAATGTGTCAGATGGAGTAATTGTATCGCAGCAGTGCCCTGGTGCGAGCTTCCCACAACCAACAGGCAGCTTCAGTATCACTGTCACTACAATCCTGGGTCAACATAGAGAAGAGTGTGCCGGTGCTGCTGTAACTCTACCTCTGCTATTGCGTTACATGAGCTTTCCAGGACACACAGTGGCGCTACACTGGAAGTCCAGCTGACATACTGTCTCTATCTTTCATTAAAACGTAACTTTAGAAAATACTGTAACCATAGCTCTGTCTCTGTCTTACCTTGACAAAAAGTTCGATATCAGGGTCTCTGTCTTGACCGTTAGTGGACATGATGCCTGGTTCTGGCTGTCACCTTGATTCTTTAGTTGTTTTTTTAACTACAGTCCTTTGCTTATCCTTGGAGGTCTACATCCTTCAGAAAAAGATGAAAAAACCCAGATATCTTCTCTGAGATTATCCTCTATCCGCTGGCAGTAATCCCTCACACTTTAAGAAGCTGTTTTGGTTTCTCGTCCCCGATTCAAGATCTCCACTGCCCTTTTGGTCCTGTAGAGGCTGTCTTCTCCCTTGTTTTATGTCTTGCAGGTGAGGCTGAGAATGATTCCAGGTGGCATGTAGAGAGAGCCCTGCGCTCTGATTTGGACACAGATGGAGAGCAGAGCTAGCTCTGACTGACACAAAGTGGAAAACAGGTGTCAGTCTATACCAGGGGGTGGAGCCTCATCACTCGCTTCCCACTACTGCAACCAAACTCCCCTCTTAACATACATCACTACCATCACCCCCTCTCTTATCTATGTCTTGTCTGTCCTAAACTGGTCACCTCACTTTCTGACTTTTCTAGGGTCTCTTTGCTTTTTGGGGTCGGATCAGGTTGATGAAACTTTTCCAGACACATCACGAACAATCAAAAATAACATTTCTCAAATATCAAATATATTTGGGATTACTCAAGTATATTTAAATATATATATTAAACTGCCTGCCAATACAGTGGTCTTCCAATAATAGTATACTGGCAGTCATTGTTCTTTTATTTGACCTATCCTTGAAGAGCACCTGATCTTTTACTTCAGTATTAACATAACCATTGTTTTAGACCCAGTGCAGCACTCTCTATTTTTTTCTTCATTATTTTCTAATATATTTGTGTCACTTTCCATCAGAGCAGCAGCAGTGAGCGTTCATATTTAATGAATTGCATGCCCACATTTTTGACTCAGGCAGGACACGACAGGTTATATTTGATCACCAGTAGGCGACCTAAAGAAGATTCCTCTGTGAATTATTCAAGCTTGGCTTTGGTTTTAAGGCAGGAACTGGCATAAATTTAGAGAAAAAGGGCCTATGTAGGGCAACTAAAATAAAAGCAGGTCTGACTGCAAAGAAATCTGTATAAGCACACACTGAAAGAATTGAGTCACACTGACTATTTGCTTCATTCGAACAGGCAGAGTTCTGAGAGCTATAATTAAGAATACAATCTCTCATCATCAATCAATTTGAAAGTAAGATGAAAGCAGAAAGACAGAGAATTTTTTAACAGTTTCTATTTATAGAGCAGCCCCCTCTCCTGGCTAACATACCACCATGCAGCACAAACCATTACTGGGCCACCATGGAAGAAGGCGTTCATTATCAGTGTTTCAGGGAAAATGGTGAGTAGTTTTTAAATGTGTTATTTTAGGTTTTGGTGAGTTTAATTGTGTAGGCCTTAATCAAAATCACAGTCTCAATAGGTTTCACAGCACCAACATGCACAAAATAGTGCATGATAAAGAACTGAGGTCTTTTCAGGTTTAGATCTCATTCGGTAGTCAAAAACAACGAGATTGATACCAGTGTCATGGCTGTCCGGACACTATACTGCTACAGCCAGCCGCCGGTTAGCTTAGCTTAGCATAAAAACTGGAGGGGGGAGTGGGGGGAATAGCTAGCCTTGCTCTGTCCAAAGGTAAAGAAATAGTCTGGCTGTCCGATGGCCTGGCGGTGGCTTTACGTTTTTCAGAGAGAGACATGAGACGGAAGTAAAACACAAGCACAAACGTGGCATTTATAGTCTTCCATACAGACAAGAGGAGACAGCAACACCAACAAGCAACAAAACTTACACTGAAAGTAACTCGCTGCCTTTTATACACTCCCTCCTGCAGGTATTTAAGTGGGTAAAACTACTCAGGTGGGACCACCATCATTTAGAATAATAAATATTTACCCAAAAACCCAACACCACAGAAAAATAGAGCCCAAAGTGAAAAATGAAAAATGAATATTTACATAAATACAAATTTCTATTAGTAAATCAATAAAGCATACTCAAAATAATCACATAAATCAGCATTGTTGATGGCTTTACTCCCCCCCTCTCAGCTTCATGGTTTGCTCCTGCAGCTCTTAAGCAGGTACTTGGGCCTACAACACTCCTTTGCCTCTGCCCCCTGCTGAAGAGACAACCAGGAAGAGGTGAGTACTTACATTGTTTGTTTTATCTTGTTTAAACTAATTAACTGAAATGGAGTAAAAGCACTCAATACTATGTTGTGAACCTTGACTATCACTGATTGAGGTTTCTTTCCACACAAGCAGGATGGCCAGACCCCCCCCCCCCCCCCCCCCCCGTGGAACTACTCGCAACAAAGACGGCTATCAAATGTTTCACAAATTAAATAATCAAAATAACAATGTATGGCTCCTGCTTTATCAATAATCCCCACCTTAATACTCAGTTGACTATTTCAGGTAATGGAACCTCTGGTCTCCATTACACTGGCACATAGCCCCCGGTAGAATTTAAAGTTTTTTGCCCCATATTTCCAAAACTTAGATTATTCGAGAAAGCAAGATGTAGCAAAAATGACTGATTAAATCATCAAATTTGGTTAAAGGTGCACCTGTGCTTATTTTATCTACAAAGTTTTGATTCTTCTAACCATGATCTATTATGGTGTTATGTATTTACAAATGTGTCTGCATGTATGTGGGCATAAAATGTATGTATTGTGGGTAATTTGGACAGTGTCTGTATTTTTCCTCTTGAATTATATTGTGTAAACATTAAAGGAATGCTTCAACATCTTTGCTATTCTTGCCAAGAGTTTAATGAGAAGATCAATACTACTCATCAGTACAGCAAATATAAATCAGCTTAGCTTGTACATCTCCCCACAAATATTTGTTTTTACACTTTTTTTTTTGTGCGGATTACATAGACAATATACACTCACCTAAAGGATTATTAGGAACACCATACTAATACTGTGTTTGACCCCCTTTCGCCTTCAGAACTGCCTTAATTCTACGTGGCATTGATTCAACAAGGTGCTGAAAGCATTCTTTAGAAATGTTGGCCCATATTGATGGATAGCATCTTGCAGTTGATGGAGATTTGTGGGATGCACATCCAGGGCACGAAGCTCCCGTTCCACCACATCCCAAAGATGCTCTATTGGGTTGAGATCTGGTGACTGTGGGGGCCATTTTAGTACAGTGAACTCATTGTCATGTTCAAGAGACCAATTTGAAATGATTCGAGCTTTGTGACATGGTGCGTTATCCTGCTGGAAGTAGCCATCAGAGGATGGGTACATGGTGGCCATAAAGGGATGGACATGGTCAGAAACAATGCTCAGGTAGGCCGTGGAATTTAAACGATGCCCAGTTGGCACTAAGGGGCCTAAAGTGTGCCAAGAAAACATCCCCCACACCATTACACCACCACCACCAGCCTGCACAGTGGTAACAAGGCATGATGGATCCATGTTCTCATTCTGTTTACGCCAAATCCTTACTCTACCATCTCGATGTCTTTACAGAAATCGAGACTCATCAGACCAGGCAACATTTTTCCAGTCTTCAACTGTCCAATTTTGGTGAGCTCTTGCAAATTGTAGCCTCTTTTTCTTATTTGTAGTGGAGATGAGTGGTACCAGGTGGGGTCTTCTGCTGTTGTAGCCCATCCGCCTCAACCGCCGCATAATGGATTTTTTTCCCTTTTCACACCATTCTTTGTAAACCCTAGAAATGGTTGTGCGTGAAAATCCCAGTAACTGAGCAGATTGTGAAATACTCAGACCGGCCCGTCTGGCACCAACAACCATTCCACGCTCAAAATTGCTTAAATCACCTTTCTTTCCCATTCCGACATTCAGTTTGGAGTTCAGGAGATTGTCTTGACCAGGACCACACCCCTAAATGCATTGAAGCAACTGCCATGTGATTGGTTGATTAGATAATTGCATTAATGAGAAATTGAACAGGTGTTCCTAATAATCCTTTAGGTGAGTGTATGTTAATTAACTAGCTTTGAGGTGCTGCTTGGTAGATTGTTACATTTGTACAGTGCAAGGAGCCTAGCTGTAACCACTGTTTCCTGTCTTTATGCTAAGCTACGCTAACTGGCTGTAGTTGTATATTCACAGGACAGATATGACTCTCAGCAAAACAGCAAATAAGTATATTTCCCAAAATGTCTAACTATTCCTTTAAATATTTCTACATCCTTGATAATCACTGGAATTATTAAGGGTTTAGAAGGAACTGACTTGGTGTCCTGAGACAAAAGAAAGCTAAAATCACTGACTTGTTGGGCTAATCATTCACACAAACATCAAACAGTAACAGACATTTTCTATCCTTCTGGAGCCGAGGTGGCGGGGAGTTTTGACCTCTCCACTTGTGTCGACACACACTTTCCAAATGTGACAACCCAACAGTCATAAGCATTGTCTTAATTTTGAGTCATGAGATCTGTCAGTGACAAACGATATGAATATGATTACATGGCCATCTAAACTTTGTGACAATTTAAGCATTTTGCACAGTTGGTGTTATCTTAAAGAGATTATATTAGATATATGTGAAATTGCTCTTTAGTGATAGTTTATTGTACTTTATGACACAGCGGGGGTGGAGCCACGTAGGCTTTCAGCATGGACAGATGATCTCCGAACTCTCCTCTCTACTTTTATGATGTAACTCAGTTTGGTTTATGGTGATTGTTAAAGATTAAACTGTTGGGCGATCCACCCATGGGTTGGATAGGATAGAGGGTGTGGCGTAATGCGGAGAAGGGGACAAGTATGTTGTCACTTCCATGGTGAACTATGGTCCATGTTTATCATAACTGTTATATATGAACGTCAAGATAGCGCAACTATATGTGCAAAATGTGTTCTTCTGTGCTTTTAGTAATATGCTGAGGCTTCCAGTGCTCTGGTGTCGAAATCCCAGATCTTATAAACAAATCATTGTTGCATTTGGCAAAGCTAAAGGCTGATACACTGGAGTTAGTCCTAGTCCCTGTCACAACAAAGAAGTCTGGATCATTTCAAGACATCATCATCCAAGTCAGACTGTAGCAATTACTGTTTGTTTGAAACTCATCTGTGTTGATTGCATACACCCATTTCTATCGGACCATGGCAATTGCACATACAATACAACATGACAATTTGAAGATTTAGCACAAACTACTACTGTCATTCCCCATTACAAGGACATAGGTGAGCTCAAACAGAGCTCCTTCAGTCCAGCCTGCTGACTCTGATTCTCCGTTACCCAATCAGCAAAGTGACCCCTGCATGTACTGATAGTACACCTCACAGAACAGCAAAACACACAGTTGGATTTGCTCAGGCATGGAGTTCACCCCTGGTTTCTATGGCTGTACAGTAAACAAGTTAATTATTACATCAGACTGCCACCAAAATAAAGTCACTGACAAATTGTGCGATACAGAGATCACTGCTCTATAAAATTCCTTAGTGAAATCAATATTTCGTCATAGATATTTCTGAAAATATTTTCTGTTTTAATACTAGAACTAATACATGTGCTTCTAATCACTGACTTCAAAAAGTTCAATTCTGTCAACTTAAATAACCTTCACAGTTAGTTAGACTTCAACAGTAAACCATATGTATAGGCTACTTAGTAAGATGATAAGATCGTCAGTTGTTTCACATATTGTTCAGGCCCTTATACTGCTTGATTATTATTTCTTCCTATAACATCATTATGTTTCTGATCTATGTTTTTATTTTTCTGTAACAGTTAGATTTTGTATGTAAGCTTAATATGCCCTACATAAGGAACCCATCCATCCATCAATCAATCGTCAACCACTTATCCTGTGTACAGGGTCACGGGGGGCTGGAGCCAATCCCAGCTGGCATCGGGCGAAAGGCCGGGTACACCCTGGACGGGTCGTCAGTCCATCGCAGGGCCATAAGGAACCCAAAAAGTAAAATATCTTAATAGTGTAACTTTTCATAGCAACAAATCAGATACAGTGAGGAGTCCATCCCTACTGACAGTGAAAAAACATCTATAATGCCTCATGCTGTGAGGCAGGAGCAAACGGATGCTTGATCTGGGTCAAGCCTGCAAAGACTGCTTGGTCTTCTGCTGCCCTGTATAAAGGCCTATTTCTTACCTTGACGAACAGAGAGATGTCAGGCTGGCTTGGATCAGGTGGTGCAGCACTGCTCTCATCCAGAGTGACATTCTCGAGAGTTTTCAGGCTGTAGTCGACAGACTCTCCCGGGTTGTTGTCAATGTTGTGGTGCGTGTACGCCATCAGCATCCCATCCTCCGCGTTATCCTCTTCCAGGGTCCTCGGCTGGATCGGCGGCTCGTCGCACAGATCTCCGTGGGAAGCGGAGGATACTGAGGAGGCCGATGAGCGCCTGGATCCGTCGTGCGCTTTGCCGTTCACCTCCTCCACCTTCACCTCTGCTTTTTCCTCTGTCACTGCATCTGCTTTAACCTCCTCCTCATCACTGGATGACGAGGATGAGCAACTTTGTTTGTCCCCGTCTCTCGTGTCCATGTAGTCTGACAAACCGCGCGCTGCCTCCGCAGAGGCGTGGACCTGCACCTGGCTGTACAGCTGCTCCTTCGCCTCACCTGATTTTTCATAATTAGGCTCTCGATCGGGGCTGTCAGCTCCATCCCTGCGCTCCTCAAGCACAGTTCCCTCATCTATTGTGTCATAGATGTGCTCCATGTTTGCTGTTTGTTTGTTTTTTTGGTCAGACCCCGGGGTTTAACGTGGAGGAGGAGTGCTGAAGTGGTGGCACACAGTCCGCCTGCCTCTGACTGACTGAGCGCCTGGGTAAATTCCAGCGATAACTCATAAAAGACCTTTGACCCTGCAAGTTAACGAGTGATTAATGCAAAAGCTGAGGCCTGTGCCTTCAAGGACACAATTGCAGAGAGTGAACGTCAGCGGAACTCCTTGCGATTGTAGTGAACAGTGCAGGCTACACACTGAAAGGTTTTATTGTATTTTTTAACATCTTCTTCTTTTCGGTCCCACACTGCAAAAAAGAACAATCAAAATGCCAAGGCAACACACTTAAACAAGAAAATGTTGAGTTCGACAATTAGGCTAATTAACTTTGAGTTTGTCTAAACTGTCTCAACTAAACTTTTAAATTAATACAACCAATAGCTGTTTATTTTGAAGCTCTTTATTCAACAATCAAGTGCCAGTTATTCAACACTGTGTTGTTTGTATTTATGCATGTCCTTTCTGCAAAACCAATTGCCTAATGGACAAATAAAGCTGAAGATGAAAATGTAGTAGCCTAATAAATAAACTGTAAAGCCGAAAGGTTCAGAACACTCAAAATATTTGTGGAAACGGATAGGGGATCGGTAGACACGATTTAGCTCGTAGACAGACCGGCTATTTGTAGCCCACTTTTAGTCAAAAAAGTCAAAAATGATTAATAGTGGGGTTTTGCCCTGGCAGCACGTGAGATGGTTGATATCCCATTATTTTTGCAATATCAATAATATCAACAAGATATTAAGTGTCATTAAATTGACATGGTCTATCTGTAGCCACGATTGAGCTCTTATTTGGACAGGCTACTTGTAGTCTGCTTTTAGCCCACCCGGAGAAATAGAGGCAATCAGTGGTCATCTTGTCACAAGATCTCTGACGTAATTGCTGACGTAATCTGCACTCTGCGCATGCGTTGGCGTCTGTAGCCACCTGTCGGAAGCTCCGTCTTGAACCGGACTCTTATCCAGTTTTAATCCACTTTTTTCGTTACATTTTTTATATCCTTTTATTTAACTTAACTTTATTTAAGTTTTACGTGGGTTAAGGATTTTAGTCATCCGACATGGATTTTAAGCTAGATGACCGTAAAAACGCGATCAACGCTACTGACCGCAACAAAGCTCCGGTGACTATGCTAGCCGAGATAACTCTGCCCCATGAGGACTGCACACTCCTTAAGAAAGAGAACAAAAAGATTGTTGACCTAATGGAAGACATCCGACGACTTTCAGAGGAACTCAAAGAGAAAGATTCCCTGCTGACTGGCTTTATGGATGTAGCTTCAGTACAAGCCAAACAGATTGTTTCTCTTAGCGCAACCGCCAACATCCAGGACACCGTGTTTTGGGACCCCTCTAGTCTTCCCAGGCTTTCATCCTGCTCGACTCCGAAGCATCAGTCAACCTGGGCTGAAGTGGTGGTCCGTGGCTGCAAGAGAGGCTCGGATGGGGCTGCCTCTCCTCCGCACATCGGCCTCTCCAACCGCTATGCAGCCTTGTCTAACGACACTCCGGTCCTTCCAGCGGATGCACCTGCGGCTTCGAGTCTCCCTGATACGGATCTCTTTCGGCGAACAGTGCCTGCCGACACTGTTGCATCTCCGCCACCGGCTACATCTCCTGCACTGGGCCGCCGGTCTGCCGCCGGACCTGATCGGCGGCCTGCAGGGCTCATCGTGTGTTTTATGTGGATAATTTTAATATTTTCTGGCAAAGAATGTCTCTTTTTAAGACAGACGGACTTCACCCAAACAAACGGGGCTCAGAAATGTTAGCTGCGCACATACAGCATGTGGTGCGGTCCACACATGACTTACGTGAATGACTCATCATTCATGCAGCACACCTGGACACACCACCGCTCACTGAACAGATCTCTTCCTCACTGCTACAAACAACTGTCTCCACCTGCTGGCATGTAAAGCCGTCTGCTCCCAGCGCTGTTCCAAAGACTTCTATTCCTGTCATCATCACGCATAGACCAGTAAACCGAAATGTGCACATCCCACACAGAAATATTAGTAATCTCTTAAGGATTAGGACAACTGCACCAACTCCAGCACCCAGAACAAACTCATTTAAAATGGCTCTCTTCAATGTGAGATCACTTTCAAGTAAGACTTTTATCTTAAATGATTTTATCTTGTCTGCAAATCTAGATTTTATGTTTTTAACTGAATCCTGGTTGCAAATGAATGACTATAGGCAGCTAGCTGAACTGTGTCCGCCTCAATATGATTGTTTTAGTCAACCGAGGGTCAGTGGTCTTGGTGGTGGGCTAGTGAGCGTGTATAGGAAAAATTTTAAATGTCATCAAGTATGCTGTGATGAATTTAGCTCCTTTGAAGTTCTCACTCTTAAAGTTGGAGGGCTGCAACCTATCATATCTTTTATAATTTATCGCCCCCCAAAACCGCCTGGAGGATTTTTATCAGAACTTCCTGAATTTTTATCTACTCTGGTTTTAAATTATGACAGAATTGTTCTTTGTGGCGATTTTAATATTCATGTTGATGACCCCACCAATGTTAATGCAACTGACTTTTTAAATATGGCCACTTCTTTTAACTTCAAACAACATGTCAAAGGGCAAACACATAACCGTGGTCATACACTGGACTTGGTTTTTACCCTGGGTGTCAGCATTTCCTCTGTGGAATTAGTGGACATGACCATATCTGACCACAGATGTATTGTTTTTAGCTGCTAATGAACAAAGTGTTTCAAAGTTTTGCGCATTCTTTCAGAGCCAAAGCCAACACCTGTCTGATTCCAACACCAACAATCTGGTTGATCACTTCAATCATATCTGCTTGTCGTCACTAAATATTACTGCTCCTCTAAAGGTTAGGCCTACGTCTAAAGCTAGTAAACAACCCTGGATAAATGACAGCATTCGCAGCCTAAAAAGGGAATGCAGGAAAGCAGAGCGCAGATGGAAAAAATCCAATCTCCAAGTCCATTACCTCAGTCTGAAGGATTTATTAATTAACTACAATAAATGGTTAAGGATGCGAGAACACACTATTTTTCTGAACTCATTATTACACATAAACACAATCCCAGGATTCTGTTTAAGACTGTGGATCAGCTGGTAAACCCAACCCCTCCTTGTGCCTCAGCTGGAAGTAATGATGACTGTGAATTGTTTTTATCTTATTTTACCAATAAGGTGGTGTCAATCAGAGCCTCTATTACCCCCGTGGCCTCTTACTCAGAGGTTCCTCACCAGCAACAACAGAGTTTTAACCAGTTTTATCCCATCGACTTGTCTGAGCTTTTAAAAACAGTATCACAAATGAGAGTGTCCTCCAGCCCACTTGATATAATACCTACAAAATTTTTACTAAAAGTAATAGATTCTGTTGGGCCCCATTTGATCTCTGTTTTCAACAGCTCCCTATCTACTGGTTGTGTCCCTGATTATTTTAAAACGGCTTGCGTGAACCCACTTTTAAAGAAACCTGGTTTAGATCCCTCCCTCCCACAAAATTTTAGACCAATTTCAAAACTGCCTTTTATTGCAAAGATTCTAGAAAGAATTGTGTCCAAACAGCTGCTCACTGTGCTGGAAAATAACAAAATATTTGAAAAGTTTCAGTCTGGTTTTAGGAAGTACCACAGCACTGAGACTGCCCTGCTTAAAGTCACCAATGACCTTTTAATGTCTGCTGATGAAGGTATGTGCTCAGTCCTTGTACTCCTGGACCTTAGCGCTGCTTTTGACACCATTGATCACAACATCATGTTAGACAGACTGAGGCACTGGGTGGGGATCTCTGGTACTGCTCTAGAATGGTTTTCATCCTACCTGTCAAATAGGAAGTTTTGCGTGTCTGTAAACAACTATGTCTCTTCGTTCTGTCCAGTTAAATATGGTGTGCCTCAGGGGTCGGTCTTAGGACCCATTTTGTTTTCCTTGTATCTGCTTCCCCTTGGACATATTATCCATAAACATGGCATTTCTTTTCATATTTATGCTGATGACACACAAATATACTTGCCCGTCAGATCCACAGACCCTGGAATGCTGAGTTCACTTAACAACTGCCTTTGTGAAGTTAAAAAATGGATGTCAAATAATTTCCTCCAGCTGAACTCAGACAAAACAGAAATCCTGGTCATCGGGTCCCAGCAGATGGCAAATCAAATACTGCCATCTGCTGGTTCCCTAGTAAATCACATTAAGCCTGTGGCAAAGAACCTTGGTGTTTGGTTTGATAGTAATTTAAATTTCGAGCAGCACACCACAAAGCTTGTTCAATCATGTTTTTATCAACTTAGAAATATAGCTAAAATTCGATCTATGTTAACTTTTAAGGACACCGAGACCATTTTACACGCCTTCATCTCATCACGCCTGGATTATTGCAACAGCCTTTTCACCTGTTTAACCCAAAAATCTATTGATCGACTCCAGACTGTCCAGAACTCAGCTGCCAGGCTTTTAACCAGAACAAAGAAATATGACCACATTACTCCTATTTTAGCTTCATTACACTGGCTCCCAGTATGTTTTAGAATTGACTTTAAAATTCTATTGATCACTTTTAAAGCTCTTCATGGCCTCTCGCCTTGTTATATTTCTGACCTTTTAGTCCCATACGCACCAGCATGTACCTTGAGATCCTCGGGCAGAGGTCTGTTGTCTGTTCCAGAGTCTCGACTGAAAACTAAAGGGGACAGAGCGTTTGCTGTCAGGGCCCCGAGGCTCTGGAACAGCCTGCCCGAGGAAATCAGGTCGGCTGAGTCAGTAAACTCTTTTAAGTCCCTTCTTAAAACATACTTTTATAGGAGAGCTTTTCCCGATCTTATTTGACTTTATCTTATCCCTTTTATTTTATTGTATTTTACTAATTTTATATTAAATTTTCATGCTCTTATCTTTTTTTGTATTATTCTTTACACTTGTTAAAGCACTTTGTAACTTGTTTTTGAAAAGTGCTCTACAAATAAGGATTATTATTATTATTATTATTATTAATATCAACGGCTTGGCTGTAGCCCTGTTTCAGACCAAATAGGTTACATATAGTTTTCAC